CCGAGTTGGTGCTGATGCAGAGCCCATAAATTACACTGGAGTGCTCGCTCCTCTACCCCTGGTCTTGCTCTCCTGTGTGGTTCTACTTGGGGGTTTGTTTTTCTTTTTTCGGGAAATGAAAAATCTGTCGAAACGTTATTCTTTGTTAGCAGCGGTGTTGTATGGCTCTAGGGAGGTCTGAAGTATTCTCTTCTTTGAAGCGTGTAAGGAGAAAGGTAGAAATACGGTGTCTCCTCTGACTTGGGCTGTGCGCCTGACTTTAATGGCAGTACCACCTCAGTCTGTGTAGCGGGACTTGTGCCTTTACAGTCCTTAAAAGCAGAGTTGCATTTCTGAATGGAATAATGAAAGGCAGTGAGGTGACTGAGTTGGGTGAAAATGATGGCAAGATGGTAAGATCTGGGAAGCAATTTATTGCTTCTCTTTTCCTCGCCTCCTCTTTTGCCCCTGGAATTCTATTGTTCTTGGTGTGTCAAGCTCTTTTATGGTTGGGTAAGTGGGGAAACGTGTGGATTCTGCTATGCATGTTGTCATTGATTTACAGTTTGCTTTTCTAAAACTGTTCTAGTAACAGCTGGATTGCAACCTTGAGAGTGGAAGAATGAAAATATACAGCAGTGTTACAAAGGAGACTGGGATTCATTAGACTCTGTCACTCTCAAACCCTGATTCTGCAAATATTTAAGCACATACAGTTCCATATGCCTGAGTTACCCAGCGAGTTCTGTGTGATTACTGCTTCATATCAAAACTGTTTACAGTATCAGGGCCACAGAATAGGCTGACCAAATCTGGTTGAAATTAGACTATTTTTAGTTTTCTGTCTATAATGAAAAGTTTATTTGGCCATTTTTGTTTCTTGGGAAAATGATCTTGCTGAGATACAGCACTGTTTAAAAAGACTCTTGTCATCCATCCCGTAAAAACCTAGATGGGGATTTGTCAGTGAGTGTGAAAATACTCCATAGTGTATTTGCAGTGTGTTCAATATGGCATAAAGTACTTGCAAAGTCATAATCTCTTAACGTGTAAACTAAACTACAAGTTGCAGTTCTCCTGGCTAACATTGAAAATGTCTGTCTTGTGTATGTATGAAGTAAAAAGGAATGCAGGACTTAGCTCTTTTCCTTTTCCCAAATATAAATGGCTAAAATACCTTTTATCCATTATTTAATAAGGGAATGTTTATCAGACATGTATTTATATCTCTAGATCCGTTGCATATATGATGTCCCAATTAAAAGGATTGTATTTTTTTCCTGGAAAATTAGTCTCAGAAAATAAAATAATTTTTTGCACCCTTAGTGCAGTTCTCGAAAATGCTCGGTACACTTTTTAATGAAAGTCTGTGTGGTAGGTACCAAAAGTGACTTTCTGGAAAGTTTATTTTGGCTGCATGAAAATGACCCTCATTCACTCTTTTTTGGAGGTATGCTAGGACTAACATTCTGCTTCCTTTCATGTATAAATTAAATCATTATAAAATCCACAGGGAAAATATAAATTCATAGGGCTAAATTAACTCATTGGCCTCACACGGCGAGAACTGAAAATGCAAAAGCTTTGTAGCTTTCCAGCTGTAGGACTCATTCTGCAAAGCTAGGCACATGAATGGTTTCAGCCATGTAAGTAATTAATGAAGAAATTGGTGGAACTTGTCTCTGGAATTCTAATATTCATATGCTTATGTTTTTGAAGAATGATGTCCCAGAGAGGGAATTTATACATACTTGTATAAAGTTTCAACTTAGACTACTGTAAAACAGCACTTGCATATCAGCCTCAGTATTCTGCTTGATCACAGGTTTACTAATATTTGTGCTTAGTGTTGAATTTATTAAAAGAAATCTGGATGTTTGTAATATTTTGCTATCAGTGGTTAGCATCATTAATGTATTAAAAGAACAGGAGCATGAACAGGAGTGTGTTTTATACAGTTGTGAGAAATGGTATTCACAGGACAATCTCCCATTGAATTTATGATAAACATATAGGACTGCTGTAGAAGAAGCTAATGGAAAGTGCAGGGACAGTTTTGCGCAAATAGTTTATCAAGAAGGATTTATAGAGTTGGAATTTACAGGAGATCTGTCTTTATGTAAAACTTTGTGATTTTTTAGTATCTACAGTTAATGCAGTGCCAGTGCTTCATAGCACACTAAGTATATACAGGATTTTATATTCTAAATCAAAACAAAAAGGACTTTTTTTTTTAAAAAAAAAAGCAGTAATCCCTAGTTATGCTGATGGCAGGTTATACTGCGATGTGCTATGCTCAAGTAAGAGTTTATTTTGAGAACATGATTGTGACTGTGCTCTAGTCTTTGAAATTCAGACTTAAAATTTGATAGTTGTTCATTTGGGACGTCTGCATATCTTCCTTATGTGTAATGAAAAAAACTTTCAATAGTGGCAGCCAAAGCCAAAAGGAACTTACTGAATCAGAGGCAGAACTGGATTCTTACTTGAGGTAGGACTGGTAAATTCCCTCAAACCTCAAAAAAGGAGGAAGGAAGTGCTACAACTTGTCAGGCATCCTTTGATCAGGAGTATTTGAAATAACTGTTGGGTATTTCAGTCTATATACAGTAGGTCTGCTTCTTCCCTGTGAGAGATTTTTGTGTTACTTTACTGAATAGTCCTAGAGCTGGTTTAGCTGTCTGCTGAGAGTACTTGTCTCATGTAGAGCGGTGTAATGTCACACATGATGCTTCTTTGCATAATACTGTTGATAGTTCACCGTTATCTTCGGGTTGTCTTTGGTAATAAAGATAAACCTGTGTGTTCAGGTGTATGCTTGCATCTTGTTAAAGTTTGATTTGTATTCTGAATATGAGTTTTAAACAAATAACAGTAAAATTTTTAGGTTGTGTTGCCTACTTATTACTGTTCTATATTGTTTATATATATATTTATATATATATATTTAGGAGCAAATACCTTTTATCTTAATGGGCCTGAGAAAAAAATGAATTAACCTACAGTTTCTTAATGTAATTATGTTAGTATTGTAACACATGCTGCTCTCATATCACCGAGAAGTGATTTTCATCCTTCAGTGTGGGGTTTTCTTTGCATTCCCATATGATGGCAAATCCATATTCTTTGTTCTTGGTCTAACTAGAGCTTTAAAAATGAAAGTCACAATTTATACAGCTTTGAGAGCCTGTCCCACTGTTATGAAAGGTGAAGAAGAATCCTAGGTGTGAACTACAGGTATCTCTTTGTGTTGCTCAGTGTCAAGTCTGATTGAGTGCTCAAGAAAATGAATATTCTTTACTTATTTTTGTGCCAGAGCAGCCATGCTCAGTTATTCTATGAGGTTTCTGCAGGGTCAGGCAGGTTCTCTTACAACGTTTCTCATTTTTGGCAGGTGCCTTTTTGTTTGATCAAGTCTTGCATTTAGTGAAATGCAGATCTGATAAACTGGAGATCTGTCTAAACAACACAGCAGGTTTTCAGTGGTTTTCATTCACGGATCTACTATTGTTTGCTTTTTTTCTTCCTGGTGTGTGGCATCGTGCTGTTGTATGTCATCAGTGCAGTGAGTTTGGTAAATGCAGTGTCTGTGTAAGTAAAATAGAAGGTGAATCTTAGGCATGGTTTTAAGCAATTCTTTTGAAAGTTTTATGCCTTAATCAAACAAGAAGTACTTCTCACCTAATGAAGTGGAGATGTTAAGAAACAAGGGACAGATAAACAGAAAATACATGGAAATATTTATTTGAACTGTAATTAGCATGAATTTGACATTAAAGTGGTGATAGAGTAAGAAAGGTAGCTGTATACAAGGTATGCTAACTTTTACCTTCAGGTGTTTGTTCCTTAAGGACTTGCAATATAAGGCACCAGAATTAATGCAAGTTCAGTATTTTTAACATATATTTGTTGCTATGACAAACAGAGGTGAACTTAAAATATAATCTATAAGAAAACTAATGCAGTATTGCACTGATTGGAATTTTGCAGGTGGTGACAGTGGATTGGATGGGTTAGGAGGACCAGGAGTACAACTTGGAAGCCCCGATAAGAAAAAGCGCAAAGCAAATACACAGGTAAATTCCCTTTGGTTCTTTTGATTTCTTAATAAATAGTGTACTCAGATGTTTGCTGGTATGACTGTCTTGCATTGTTCAGAATATCAGTCTGTTCTCACAAATAGCAGTTACATGCAAAATATTTCAATTGTGCTGTGAAGTTGAAATCTTCATAATACTAGTTATTCTCACTGAAGCTATTTTAATCTCTGTACGTTGCCAAAGACTTATAAAGAGAGGAGAGCAGTGAGACTGCAACAAGTCGTATTTTACCATATGGATTTGATTCTGAGACAGACTTTCTTTTAATGACTTTGTAGCCATTGGTAGAAATCTGTACAGAACGAGTAGTTGCCATGGGACTACTTCTTACTTTTATTCCTATATGTGTAGGTTTGTGGGCTAGTGGATCAGTACAGTTTGTTAATGCTTTGACCAAATTCTTGGGATATTCCCCAAGTGTTTTTCAAGCAAAAGCTGTGAGGCAAGTTCAGCTCCTTTCCAGTGAATCCCTACAATTTGGCATTTCTATACAGTTTCTGTTTCCAGAGAAGGGAGCTTGAATACAGAACATCTAAAGCAATTATATATCTGTAGTGCAGAGTTTTCCTTTGTGTGTTCATTCAGCTTTGAGTGAGAGTTATCTGTTAATTTTTTACTGCCCAGTGAGAGTAATTTTATTTATGTAGGTCAAACAATCACTTTCTGTTAGGCCTGTCCAGATTCCATTGAGATGTGGATCTGTTTTCTTAATTTTTGTTTTGTTTTGAAGTAGTCATGGTGAAACCTGCTCTGAGAAACAGTCAGTTAATTTAAGGGTTTCAGACCTCTTTCTTGGTGTAGCTTTCCTTGTGCTCTGGAATGGTGATAACTGTAGAGGGCATGCAGATTAGTTTTTTCTCTTTTCTATCAGGTTCAAAATTTGCAGCACAGCAGAAATTTTTTTGGGGAGAAAAATGTTCAGTCTTAGTCTATTAGTATTTAAGAGGAAATGCTTTCTGTGAGCACAGCTAGTGTGAGGGTGAACCAGCTAGATGTTCCCCACAGGTTAGTCTAGAATGAAATTCAATTGTGTAGCCACTCTGATGACATTTTAACAGCCTCTGGGCTCCATTAGACACTCGATTACGCTCTGTAACCAGGAATCCTTGTATTTTATACCTACTGACTATACTTTGCAGACTGTCCACAGTCACTGAATGCTCATAATGGACACCTCTGTTCAGTGCACAGAGTATAGAAAATTCCTATACGCACACTCCTATATTCTGTATACTTTTTTAAAGGTTATAGTAACATTAGGTTTGTATATCCTTATAGAAGTAGCGTGTCTTAAGAGATATATATTCACTAAAATTAACCGAAAATTAAACTAAGGAAATGCTTCAAATCTGCTCTTCAACATTTGGAAGTATTCTGTGCATGTGTTTAAGTGACACAAGGCTCTCTGTAGTGCTGTTTTGCGTATGTAAAGGATTAAGATATAGCAGTCACATATCAAGTAGTATTTTCAGAAGCCTGGTTGTGCAACTGCACAATTTTTAAAATACCGAGATTACTATAAATGACCATGTTATCTGGAGCCCAAACTCCTCTCTTGCCTCTGTACTGAAATTTCAGACAGCCTGGCAGGGTGCAGTGGGTGAGCTTTACACAACAGCTGAACAGTTCTTTAAGCAGTAGTGCAGCTAATCCAGGACCTTTGTGGTTGTCCTGTCTTGCAGGGAAATACTAAAACTAATTTAAATGTTGTATTTAAAATATTTTTAGGGATCATCATTTCCTCCTCCATCTGAATATGCTCCACCGCCGAATCCGAGCTCTGACCACCTTGTAGCTGCAAATCCATTTGATGACAACTATAATACTGTGTCTTATAAACCACTTCCTTCAGGGAATCCATATTTTAGTAATCCTGGTTATCCTGGCTTTGGAGGCTATAACACTTTCAGGATGCCACCTCACATGCTGCCCAGAGTGTCCTCGCCATATGGTGGTTCTTATTCCCTCAGAAACCAACCACATCCGCTTCCTCAAAACCCTGTGGGAATGGGTTTTAGTCGACCCCACTCTTTCAGCTTCGGTCCGCACGATAACCCAGGTTTTGGGAATCAACCACCTTATAGTAGTGGTCAGATAAATCAGAATGTCAATATGCCTGGTCAGCATTTCAGACCAAATCCTGGTGAGAACTTTGGCCATTCTGGTCAGATACCTCACCCAGAGGTGCCATCTAACTTTGGTCCTGGAAACAATCCAAATTTTCCAAATTCTCAGCTAGAGTCAAACCATTCTTTTGTTCCTCCACCAAACACGTACAACCAGACAAAATCATCAGCACAAAAGCAAGACTTTAGTCAAGGTGCAAGCAAAGCATCCAGCCAGAACACTGCTGCTCATCAGCATCATCACAGGACAGAGGACATTGTGAATCAAGGTAACAGTGACCTAAAAAATGTTTCTCGAAACAATGTGGTAAATCAGGATAATAGCCATTCTAACAGTGCTGATAACACTAATGCTGGTCATTCAAATGGGACTCAGAGTAAGTCCCGCCAGCCTCGAGGTGCTGCTGAAGGATGCAACTCTGAAAAGAGCAGCAAAACACCCCTTCATCCCAGTCGCCATGGTCACTCGTCCTCTGAACCCGTCTATCCATGTGGAATTTGTACACATGAAGTTAATGATGACCAGGACGCCATCCTGTGTGAAGCCTCTTGTCAAAAATGGTTTCATCGGATCTGTACAGGCATGACTGAGTCAGCTTATGGCCTTCTTACAGCAGAAGCATCAGCAGTATGGGGTTGTGACACTTGCATGGCTGACAAAGATGTCCAGTTAATGCGTACAAGAGAGACTGCAGGACCACCTGCGTTGAATACGGATGGCTAGCAACGTGGACTGGTGGTAGTGGTTGAAATACTTGCTCTGAAGATTTGGTTATGACTTGGGTACTTCACTTTCTGCAGACAATCAGTTGTGTTTGATTGCTATCATCTTTTTAACCCTAATCTGTTTTCATTCATAAACTTCCATCTCAGCTTTTGTACTCTTTAGTTTTATGTGTGCAGATGTTTTACAGGATGGAATATTTTTTTGTTTGTGATTAAACTGTAAAACATAACTCACAACTGATCAGAAGTAGGATGTGCATTGACAATTTTATTGTGGGCAAAAATGTGCCTATATAAGTAGCCCCTAATTTGCTAGTGTTAATGTGTTAACTAACACTAGCATTTAGTGCTCTGCTTTAATAGTACTGTATTTGCAAGTACTCACTACATTTTATTTTTTGGGGTGAATATCCGTTACTGATGTTCTTGCTATCCTTTCTTTGAATATAGTGGAGATGACATGAAGGAATGTGCAGTACTAATTTTTATTTTAGGGTAAATACAGAGAATTTCATATGTGCTTTTTCCTGTTTTTGAAGTAAAGCATTAACACACTATTAAAAAATTGATGACTTCATGCTTAGTAACACAGTGAAACCTGCTAAGTCTTACGTATTTATATTTCCTTGAAAAGGCAATGATCTCTTTTAACTGCTCAGCAAATACTTACTTGCTGAAGAGTCTTGCTAGGTCTTGCAGTATTTGAAAATAGTTACAAAATATTACTACATTGGAAAAAGAACACATCAAGTTTATGAAGTCCAGTGCTTTAAATCTAGAGAATACCAAAACTAGGGTTGCTTACATAACCTTAATTCATTTATCTTGAGCACATACGTTAGGATACAGTCTCTGCATCTGTCACAGTTGTGCAGTGATGCACCTCTCTCATCTGTTCTCATTGATGGTTCTAGTCTCCCGCCTCAGTGCTACCTGAGAATTGTGAATGAACTAGTGCAAGGCAAGTCCTGCCCGTCTTCTGGGGCTTTCAACTAGAGCCTGCTCGGTCATCCTGAGTTTACGCAGCCCACTTGGCCTGAAGGAGGGTGCAAGGCAATGGAGTGTGCTCAGCACAGGCTCTGAATTGCAAGATGATTTGGTCAGTAAAGTCTTAAAACTGAATTCCTACCACTGCCACAGCCCGTCTTGCAATGAGAGGGTGGGAAAGCTAGGGTGAAGAAAAATACAGCTTTCACATCAGGTGAGTTTAGCTTACATCAGGAGCAAGTAATCAGAAGTTTAGCTTCTTTGTGAAACTTGATATCCTGCTGACAAGTATGAATGGCACTAGAGCTTCATGTGTGATGCTAAGAATTCTATTTTAATATCAGTAATTTGATCTTATTCTTGATCTCAAAAACCCCCCCCCCCCCCCCCTTTTTTTTTTAAATGGGGAAACGTCTAACCTTGAAGACTTCAGCCTTAGCAGTGTGATAAAGTTGCATATGCAACTGAAAATGAGTGTTTCTGTGGAGAGAAGTTTTAACTTAAAAGGTGGCACTGTAATAACAGACTGGGCTTGTAATACCACTGTGCTGGAAACTTTGAGTTTTTAAACTATCAGCAATTAAATCTTATGTCAGGCATTACAAGTACTAGTCAAGTTCCTTAATGTGATAAATTGTTCAGGTCTATGGTGTTGAGTGATCTGGGAGCCTGTATAGGATACAGTCATCTATATAAAGAGGTAGTTTTTGTGGTAAGCTATGCTAATGAGTGAAAAGTAAGGCCTGTTTGCTAGTTCACCATTGTGTTTGATTTTAAATTCACTCTGCTGTGGTACTTTCCTGGAATATAAATATACAGATCCACATAACTGTCCTTGATTTGTTTTAAAAGTGAAAAGTTTCATATACTCATTTACTGAAGAAGGGCCATATTGCCCTCCTTTTTTGTCTTGCCTCTCATCAGGAAAAATGAAATAATGTCTGAAGTGTAAATGACACAATTCATATACGGAGGATTTCCTGTCTGGAGATGTAAAGAAAGTGTAAGCCCAGATCCAGGGCTTCTGCTTTCATCACTATTAGCTTTATTTAATATAGAGACTAAACGTAATCATTTTTTGTTAGGGAGATAATATTTTACAACAAACATACAAAAAAAACCCCCACAAAACCCAACCAAGCAACAACCTCTGTTAGAGAGATCTATTCTTCAGTAGTTTTTCTAATGACTGACTGACTGTTAGAATTTGCTTTTGGTTTCTAAATTAAACCAAACCTTTTTTAGATAGATTTGTTCCTCTGGGAATCGGTTTAATCTCTGCAACAATTTGCACTGTGAAGGTAATGAAGCTGGTTCAGACTTACAGCAATGTAAATGAAATAATAAATTTTGCTCAGAGAAAATTCAACAAAAGCTCCAATTATTATAGTGTACCCAAGTGTGCTGTTCACAATACCTTTCCCGCTCCTACACCCCATTTCTGTTGTAAGAAGATGTTTGGGGCATTCCTTCTCAGAAGTCCAATTAATGTTTTAACATTTTGGAGCAGACATTGTATTTAAAATAGCCATGTATTTCTTAATTTCTTCCTCAACACTACATGAAGTTAGGCAAGTGTTTTCTGTATTAGCTAGCAAGATATTAGAATTTAAATATAGTGTTCTTACAGACTTGAAATCATCTGGAGTATCATTTTATAAGGCCTTAAATTGTGTATTTGTGAAATTTATTCTAACAATGTATTTCAGTTTTTCTAAACTGGTACTGTGTTGGGTTTGTAACCCAGTTAATTTTCTGCATTTGTTAACGTGCAAATTCAAGGCATTAGCAAATCTCCATTTTATCAAATAAAAACAAATGAACAACAAAACCAAACTTGTTATCACACTCATCACAGAGATATGACTGATGAGGATCTCCAAAAGTCATCCAGCCAACATGCTTACCCTACTGATACGCTCTTGGCATACCTGGACTCTTTATCTAGAGAGAGTTATACTTTGTTTTTCTCTGCATGTATTGACTACTAGTAGTTCAAGTACGCACAGGAAAAACAACAATCATGTTTTGTTAGTAAGGTACTAGGAAAATGTCAGCTGGTTAGAATTAGAAATTAGTTATAGAAGGGTGGGTGGGAGGGGGAGGGCTGATTAGAATAGGTGAGTTTTTTTGTAATACTCTACATGAAACAATTTGTATTGAATTTGTATCATGTGCTTCTTTCATTACTAGTGACTTAGACTGTACTGGTGCTGCACACCAAAAATATTGCAAAGATTTTGTAAATCTTACAAACCTTAACATTTTTGTGGGAAATGCTTGTGTCCTTTTTAAATAGCTCCTTGTCATGGTCAGAAGTTTGCCCAAAATGTTTTGTTTGTTTGTTTTTGGAGGTTTTGTTTATTTGTTTTTGCCCCTGCCCCAGGCTGAAATGAATAGATATAAACTGGCTTTAACTGTCCTTAATACTTAGGGGGTTTTGCCAGAAACCACTTTTAAATGAGAAAATATGTAATTTGCTCTTTAAAATACTTGTTTTATTGGTGTCAGGGTAAGTGACAGTGCCACATACAGGCTAGAGGGTAGATATCAAAAATCCTGTTTCTGGATGTTTTACTGATTCCTCCTATAACTTGAAACAAGCAGGTTACCTGTTTGTGCCTCAGTCTCGTCTTTCAGAAGATTGGACTAATGCTCACTTCCCGAGGGTGTTTAGAGGCCTAGGTATTACTTGAGATCTTCAGATGAAAGAGACTAGAGAAAAATAATAAAGTTTTCTCTATTTAGAACAAAAACATAACTTTGAGGGCTGCTCAAAGAAGAATATACTTTGTGACCTCTGAAGTTTTTAATCTAAGAACCAGTTTTGTAATCGCATTTTTCGGTCTTAACTTCAAGCACAGGAGAACTAACGAAGTCAGTGGAACTGCATGCACACAGTCAAGAACGTTGCACAGTGTTTGCAGTTCGGGGCCTATGATACCTGCAAGCGGAATGCTTTGTATGGTTTGAAATTTTTACAAAATCATTAGGATTCAAATGTAGCACCTTGTTAAAATTTGTCTTTATTCCAGCTTAATGCGATAACACATCTGCATTAAATATATCCCTTTCATTTTATAAATAAACATTGCCTGGCGGTAAAAGTATTGGTGTAACATTTTTAAAGAAAGGAAGTCATGCTTCTTATCATGTTGTATGTGACTTAAATGACTGTTTCATATTAAAACTAATCTTTCCTTATGTACTGCTTAAATATACCTGTTTTGGGATATCAGTTCAGTACTTTTTTATACAATCCTGAATGTGTTCCACATTGGTGACATGTATTTTTGCAACAACTTTTTTGTTTTGATTTTAAATTAGAGCATGTCTGAAGTAATACATGCATTAGTGCTGTGGTGTGTGGCAAAGTTAATGTATGTAATTCAAATTGGAAAAAAGTTTCCAGACTTTGTCCAACATTAACCCTGTGGCCAGGGATTAAATTACTGTGTAATACAAATTATTTCATATTACAATGTGTTTTAAGCTACTCTATGAAGTATGTGAAACATTACTGTTCATGGATTGGTAGCTGGAGTGGTATCTTGCATAGAGTGAGGTATAGAATGATGGTAGCAATTCATGGTAATTAAAACTGACTACCTTTCAGAACACGCAGCACTTATGTGCATTGTCATCTTGTTGTCATAACTGTTAGTATGAATTTCTTAATATTATCCACTGACAAATGGGTGAACATTTGGTAATAAGCTCATGGGTGTGAAAATTCTGTTCTAACACTCTACTAGGTTTACAAAACATGTACATTTTTATCTATTGGATGTGATTAGATATCTGCAGGAGGATGTAGAACTGGATGTATTTTAAAGTTATTCTGCAGTTACTGAGTTTTGTCTGAAGCTTTCTATATTAGAATAGACTCTTCCTTAAAATTGGAAAATTAAGTGTACTTAGCAGAACTCTTAAGGCAATATAACTATCCTACACTACATCTTGAGTTATGTACTTTCACTTCTTTGTACGGAACTCCTCTGATTTCTTGTTGGCTTATGCTTTATATGGGAATAAAGGATCCCTTTAGTGCCCTAGTATTATGTGTCATCAGTTCTGAGGTAATTAATTACGAATGGTGTTCAGCCCCTTAGAGGTGCTGCCTATAGCTTAAAGTATTCAATGTTGCCCTTCGTTTCCTGGTTCAGAAGTAGCTTATCCCAACATCATAGGGAATACCTATTTTGGTATTGTTTGCTGTACATGATTGATTTTCCCTTTCATATTCAAACAAACTGTGTCAAAATAATTTTTGATCCAACCCCACCTTTTTACTTGGAGGTTTGTGCACTGTCATTCAGGAATTACTGCATTGGAGACACCTTGGGATTGGAGTCATGAGAGATGTTGTGTCTATTAGTAGACACTCATCTCATCTTCTAAAGGATGGTCTAAATCCGAACTTCCATATAAGATTAAGGAGGGCAAGCTTTTAATGTATTTAAATATATTTCTTGGGTTTTGTTTTTGTTTTTGGGGGGGGGGTTTTTTGGTGCTTTATATTTTT